TAGCTGATACACCGCTTCATTAAGTCTCAGTAGCTCTTGCATCCTGGTCTCCATGCTGACTTGACTCTTCACCGACGACCCTCCCTGCTCGAGATTAAGCAGGCTAATTCTTACGCAAACAAGGTATTGAAATGTGCGATTTTGATCTTCGGCCGCATGGTGATGATGGTGGGGCTCGCTGGGAAGGACGGCAAATGATTTTGTGAGTGTGAAGGTTGCGTCCACCGAATCTAGGCAAAGAGGGGCCGTATTGCGTCGTCAAGGGGCGAATAATGAGGTTGGTAAGGGTGGGGAAGGTACCCAGGGGGACAGGAGCAGGACTGTGTCAATACAGTCAGCGATTGAGGGAGGTACGGAGAGAAACGTCAGAGTGAGGGGCCAGTAAGGGAAGGAAAGGGGGAGGAGGCACAGACCACAAGGAAGTGATAGCGCCTGGACCTTCTAGCTCAGTGGTTCGGACAAAGCTGTAGAGGAGGTGTCTGAGAATCTATTAAATGGAGGATGCTGGCGCTCTTGCAACGGCACCTGACGGTATCGTCCACCGCTGTGTGCGACGAAACTTTCGCTTTGTAGAGAGTGCGAGTACCGTCGTCTCCTCCTCTCGTATCTATTGGACTTGTGATCCACGATCTCGAATTCCGACATACGCAAAGAGGTCAATTGCAGATAAGGGGTGTAGTACGGAAGTACGTACAGCGTCTTAATGAGGAGATGACAGCGTGACATTTTAGTCGAGCTGTCGGCAAGACATGAGATACCCTGGAAGTAACCAAATAGAGACCGTGATCTCAATGCCACGGACTCCTCGAGCCATGCTAGCGCGGGCAGCATGTAACCTTGGCACCAACAAAGATTCTACCTTCTACACCCCTAAAAAAACCACGATGCACTTATTTGCGAGAGCATACCGAGCGAGCGAGAAAGTGATTATTTGCTTCTACGAAATTAGATTGATCCGGCCCTCATAATTCCTGTCCTCTCATCAGCCAGCAGGCAGAGAGTGACCTTCTCCGAGGCCTTTCGTGAAACTCCCATCCATCGTTCTTGAGAAACTCAGTCCAGGACTGGTCGACTGCTCGCCAACATGACTTTCTGCAGTATTGGTCAAACGCCCCTCATTGAGGCGGCGAAGACGGTTTCACAATGTCTTTATAATCGAACCACCTTGTCCTCTTGAACGCCTGTAAAGCATCCCAATCTACGCACTCCCGCCTGACGACGGGGCTCGCAGTGAGTTCATGCCAGCTTCTGTTGGACCAGAAGTAGGGATACGGTGTCAGATCAGGGTGGCATAACATTGAGGTGCGGATCACCTCCAAGCAATGCGCTGCATTCAACTTAACAGAATTCTAGGGTTCATCGCTCGGTCACTCACTCAGATGAATTCGGCTATGCTCTAGCTGCTCGCTCGTACTGTTTGGGTTGAAATGATCGGCCCAAAGGACGTGGCGAACTTTTTCCTGAACGGCGTTTAAATCTTGGTGAGTCGTTCAAGATAGGCTCAATACTCACCAAGCAGTGGAAATTGTGATTAACGCCGAGTATGTACACCGGGTTACCGTTTTTGAGTTTGACAGTTTCAAGGCTATCAATTTGCTTGATTTCTTCTGGTGAGCTCTGTATTCCGTTGGCTGTGACCCATTAGCTCACCAATTTGTAAGATCCTAAGGTCAATCATGTAACTCACGCTTTCGATTGAATGCACTCCAGGCATCAGTCGATTCTTGGCTTGGAGTTCCGAAATATAGCTTGCTTGACCAGAAGTCGGCTTCAGGTCTGTCGATCTTATATCTCAGAGAAGAGTCTGTTGGTACTGGTGATTTTGATATGATGATCAGCGAGATCTAGGTGAAGGACGTTAGAACTCACGGTATAATGAAGTTTGAGCCTTCCGACTTCTCATGCCGCAGCTGAAGACTCGACCATGGGCGTGCAGTTCTCGGGAGGCAAGCAAAAACCCTGCGAACATGGAGAAGATTGCGACGACTCCGAGGGTCCACAACTGTGCACGGTTTCGCCTTGACAGGTGACTAGTATCTGATCCATCGGGTACGTGTTGCTGCTGCTTCATGGATTCTTCAAACAAGGTTGTTCTCGACTTCATAGAAGAGTCGCCCATAGCATCGACTGCTGGGTGACAAATGGTTGATTTAGGGAAGATCTCGACTAGAAGGCAGAAGACTTTTCCGAGCAGACCCTTCAATGTCGATCAAGTAATGTATTTTGCCTGGCAACGAACGTTAATAAAGGATCTCATAGATGGGTTTCCATGCAACATAACGCACCCACGTCATTCCCCACGAAACTGATGGCATGACAAGCTGACATGCGTCAGCCTGTCAGCGAGAACAACCCTTGCGCGCTTTTCGTCACTGTCTCTTGGACCGCCGAGAGGGAAGTTGTGGGTGCACCGTCTGCAGTATGCCACCAATAGCCTTGGTCATGACCGCCCGATCTCCAAGGCCGGTGTTTTCGTCTTTTACAAATATCACGGCACCATTAACTTTGGGAGGAGGTCTGACCGAGTCTTAGTATGCACATTCGATCTGGACGTTGATGTGGGCCCGTGAGCAATGCTAGTGGATCATCATGGCGTGCTCATACTAGAAGCTTCGGATCTACCAAATTGGCTTGTCGAATGACGATGCACGTGGCTATACCAGAACCCTTGGGTTGTCTTGCATAAAGGATTTTCGTGCACAACTACTCTCAGACCTTGAGTGTATGCAGGGCTCTCAATTCACGGTGGATCTCTCATCCGTGAGCTACCGGCTGCGCGATGACTACTAAATTCCTTATGAAATTTCGGTACAAGTATGAATGAATACCTCGTGCTGCAAGCATGGCACGATATTTCGACCTCGAATGGCAGGTGTCCTTCAATTTCGGTCATCTCAAGTAATCTTCGACGAAGGTCCGTGCATAACATGCAGTGTTTGATGCATAAAACACCCCGTTCAGTTGATCATGTCTTTAAATGGAGCTTGCATGTGAAATGACGGAAGCAAACATCACATGAAGTTCTGCTGGATATATAGTAAGTTGTCTCCCGTAAAGGGACCCAGCAGAAAGCCTCCTCAGTCTTCCCTAGTGTTCCATTGCCTCCCAATTTGAAAAGCACGTACACTTAACACAAGCATGAATTTCAAGCTCCTCCTGCTGCTGAGTCAATTTGCCGTCGCCATGGGCGCACCTGTTGTTAAAAGTAACATGACTAGAGAGACTGCTCTAACTGGAGAATGCGACTGACGAAGTTGCAGGGGCATTATTGGATGGTGAAATTGTTCCTTCAACGACGGTCGGAGAAAATCATGGCGCTGAACTCCCTTTGGATTCAGATTGTAGGTCATTCCAACAACCTGAGAGTTTTTGCTCTCCGAAAGGAAGAAAGTTGACCGTCCTCGATTACCAGGACAGGCAAATTCTCATAAAGAGAGGAGAGGCAGGGGCTGTAACGTTGCACCCAGGGAGAAAGTGACTGGCGAGCCACCAGTCTAAGAGACGCTAGGAGACATGCCACGCAACTATTCACCATACATGGCTGCTTGTTGGAGTGCCGCTTCCTCATTTGCACGACTTCTTCCGTTTGCAGATCAACGCGCGTTGGATAGCGATAAAGATAGCAAATAGCACTACAACGGAGGGCTTTGAAATACATTCGGTGTGAGCGCCTTGCGCCCTCCCAAGGTCTGAAGCGCCAGACGCCCTATCAATTTAGATTTCCCAAGGACTGGTGCTATCCTCCCGATCTAAAATTCTGTTCCGATTATCCTTGATTTGACATTGCCGACAGGCATTCCCTCAGATCAGGATCCTGGTGCTGAAAAGCAAGCGATCAATGCAGGTGCAAGGTAGCTACAGGTTGGTACCGCGCATTATCACAGCTGAGCTCAATGTTACCAAGCACATTGCGGAGATCCGAGCGCGAGCCGAGTCTGGTACCCTCCTCGGAAAGAAACAAGCAACCCGGCTCAATCTCACTGCCTTATGCGCAAGGGCCAAGAGGTGGCACGAAAAGGACCAGAATCAATAATTCATGCCAAGAGTGAGTCCTTCATCAGAGGGATGTGTCTCTTTACCATGCATCAGGCGTGAGCAGACAATCAGACGCGAAAACATACGAGTGACGAACCAATACACACCGAAAGACTCTATTTTATCTCAACCTCTTTGGCATGCACGGACATTCTCGATGAGGGGGCTATTCAATCAAATTCATGCCTCACCCGATGTCCGGGATGCAACAGACAGAATAGGAAGGTGTCTCGGCCAAGCATGCCTTGCCCTGCATGCGCACAACCCGTGTTTGCACAAATAAGAGACGCTGACCTATTGTTACGCGGAAATAAGGTGCATCGAGGTGGCACAGTCCTCATTCTCGTGTTGTAGGATCTGCTTTGAGGTCATCGCCGTCCATACGTGCCGCGTATCTCATGGCGTGGTCTCTACAGCTTTCCTTTAGATAGGACTCCAAGACTCAAGCGCTTGAGCAGTTCCTTGAGATCATTCCATCAATTCGTCTTTACACGATCATGGCTACACTGCATATCAAACCACCACTACTTTACACCATTGCTACGATCTGGCCCCCAGTATGCACTGCAGTGGTGATCGCCCGGTTTGCTGTTCGGAGGAGTCAGAGAGGCAAGACAAGGACGGGCTGGGATGATTGGCTCGTTCTACCAGCAATTGTCAGTCCACTACGTCACCCTTTGCTACACAGCATGCTTACAGGCTGGAGGCCACCATCTATGGTATGGCGGGATCAATTCTGGCGGGTAAGCTTTCGCTTGGGTTGCTAATTGTCCGTACATGAAAGTGACGTACAATGGATAGGAACTGCTCTCAAGGGTCTCGGTCAACCAACTCCGAGACCGACACCCGACTCTGCTCTGAGTGCGAGCAGCTACCAAGAGAACTTGACGCGAAAGGTTCACATTCAAACGCGAAACTTGTTCTTCTTCTCTGTTGCTTACAAGAACAAGATCTACTTCGCTTTCCTACTTGTTCACACAGTCTCGCTGACTCTGGTCAAAATCAGCTGCCTGCTCTTTTTTGGCCGAGTGTTCAGGACCCACAAAGGAAATCTTGTTGCCATCTCTCTCGACATACTTGTCGTCCTTACCGCTATTTGGGGCATCGGTTTCTTCTTTGGTTTTCTTTTCCTTTGCCGCACAAGTTTCTGGCGGCTGTGGACAGCGGTGGAGGCATCACTCAAATGTGCATCAGTCATCAAAATCAATAAAGCGGTCTCCATATCGGATGCCATTATGGATTTCGTCATCATGATCTATCCCATGCCTTTGGTATGTCCCTCAACATATGCGAACGATGACACTGATCAGGGTTCTAGATATGGACGTTGAAAATGAGCTTGAGGCGCAAACTTGCGCTGACAATCATCTTCCTTCTTGGCACCTGGTACGTTATGATACACATCAAGCACCACGCAGTGGATTGACATGTCTTAGTGCGATATTAGCATCTGTCATACGGGCTGTGATAAACTTTGAGCTTGCAGAAGGTATGGAGCCCCTTTGTATTCTAACCACAAATGCACTGACCATTCATAGAGTCGTTCTCGAAGACAGCGGATGAGGATTGTAAGTCTTTAACGTCCCCAAGTGCTGGTCACTACCATTGACAAGCTCCAAGTCGTTTCCACGGGGGTGATGTATTTCATGTTCCACGAAGCTTGCTTTGCGCTGACCGCGATTTGTTTGCCCACGCTGGCGGGAGGGCTTAAAATTGCGGGAGTTCAGAACTTCATCCAAGGTGCAAAGTCCCTTTTCTTATGCCAGTGGCCATCGACGAACTTCAGTCGTGAATGGACAGACGGGCGAGAGATACTTGGCTCACAAGCCTCAGGCATGGATGAATACAGCCCCTCGGGCCAGCATCATGAGAACGTATCCAATGTGGAGCTGCAAGATCGTCACAGAGATCAAGAGCCAAGGCACCCTCAGCCGGTCTTTTCTGCGGTGTAGCCAGCCCTCAGGGGCTCGCCGTCAAAAGACTATTACCGAAATGCTCCGGACTCATGATAAACCATTGTACTTTGATATCCCATCACGATCAATCGAAGCACAATGAGTTCTTGGCTTTTTCTTGCAAATGCTCTCTCACCGTTCGCCAAGCTGTTCGAAAATCTTCTCTTTCAATAGAAGAAATGAACTACTGACCAGCCGGGCCCCCAGCCGGCCAATCTGTAAGCTGTTGTCAAGTGACAGGAAATGCGCATTTTTGAAGAGGCGCATATCTGGTTATCCCATGGATCGTCAGGTGCCTTATTTCAGGGGTAAACCTAATTATTATGGTGTTTTCATTTTAATCGGTCTATATAATCGTTCTAACACTCCTTATAGTTGTAAATAGGAATCTTATATATACTATAGCTTTTAATAGTTCTAGACATTTGACCTCGCTATCGCTAAGCTATACTATTTAGTTATAGCTTATTTAATACTTTCTTATTTACCTATATTAAATATATATTATTTCTTTTAAAAAGTCTATATATAAAATATATTTTTAAGCTTTTAAGCTTAATTATTTAATATCTATATAATAATATAAAATAAATTTAGCTTTTAGAAAAAAACTTATTAAAAGATTATTTACTAGTTTAATTAATTAATATATTTATAAGCTTAATTTAGAATTTTTTATAAAAATTACTTATCCCTTTCTTTTTATATAACTTCCTTACTACTAATATATTAATCTTATAAGTATTAGTTATAATAATATTAAGAAGAAAATAAAATAATAATATTTAAGTTTATTACTATATCTTTTATATAAGGTAGTAAGATTAAAGCTAGTTAATATTATTAATATTATTTATATAATAATTATAATTATTAATTGATATAGAAATAAGTAAAGTTTTAATAATATTATTATTAAAAAGGAAGTAAGTAATCTTTATATTTAAAAATAATTTTATAAATTATTATTACTTATAGTTTATAGTTTTCTTACTATTATTAATAATTATTATAAATAATATAGTTATTTAATCTATTTATATAAATTAATAAATATCTTTATTATTATTAACTATTTTATATAGTTTTCCTTATTTAACCTACTTATTATACTTTAGTTTAATATTAGAAATTAATAATTATAAGCTATAGTTTTTTTTATAAGTTACTTTTTTTATTATATTATTCTACTAATAGCCTTCTTTACCTCTTATATTATTTTTACTATTTTAATAGTACTTATAATTTTAAAACTATTATATCTAAGCTATTTAAAAAGATATAATAGTATAAATAAGTTTTTAAGCTATATAATATATTTATTTAATATGTTTATTAAATATTATAACTTATATATTAAAATAACTTTAGTTCTAAGTTTAAATAAAAGTTATTCTTTATAATTTATTTTTCTTTAAATATTATAGCTAATTTATAATATAGTTATTATTATATTAATAAATAGTTTTAAGCTATATCCTATATAAAAAATATAAGTAGTTAGCTAAAAGTATAAATAATATATACTTACTTTTATATATAAATTATAAATTAAAAAAATAAAACCTTTATAAAAAACTTCTATTTGATTAAGGGTATATATACTTAATAAATTATTTACTAAAACTACTTTTAGTATAAATTTTAAATCTTTAAGAATTTTTTTAATATATATAATATTAAAGGAGTTATAAAGGTTTTAAAATAGAGAAAAAAGATTTACTTTACTAAAACTTTATAATTTTTCACTAAGCCTATATATATAAGTAGTTAAAAATAGAAGCTACTTTCTATACTTTTTATTAGTACTTATATAAACTATTACTAGAACTTTTACTAATATAGCTAATATTTATATTTTATAACTTTTAAGTATTAGTTTATTTAAAATATTAATTATATTTATAAATTACTTTATAAACTTAGTAATTAACTTATTAATATTTAAATATATTTTTATATATTAATAATATTTAAAAATAAGCTTAAGATATTTATTTAAAAGCTTTAGCTTTTTAAAGATTAATTTTAAGTCTTTATTTAATAATTTTAAAATATATAAAAATTAATTAAACTAATTAAATTATATTTAATTTATATATTATTTTATTTTTTAATATATAAGCCTATACTTTTTATTTTAATTTTAAAAGTCTTTTATATTAGTTTTTGAATAAATACTTATCTATATAATAATTCTTAAATATATATATAGTTTATTAATACTAATAAGGCTTTAAGCTTTTTAATATAAAGTAGGATTTAACTTTTATATTTAAGATAATACTTTAATAATATAGTTGTTTATACTTTTAATTATAATATAAGGTATTTTATTAGTAAAGAATAGGCTAAAGATATTCTAAAGTTACTAAGCTTTAATAACTTTAATAGAGACTCTTTTTTAAAGGTATATAGTTTTTTAATTTTTATTATATTAAACTATAGTAATAGCTATAAATATAAAAGTTATTATTTTAAAAAAGATAATAATAAAAGCTTTAAGTCTAATAGTATATAGTCTATATTATTAAATATTTAATTATAGAATATAATAGTTATAAGAATTAAAAAGATTAAAAAAAAGTTACTAGAAAATATATAAAAAATAGTATTAATTTTAAGGTATTTAATAATCTATAAGATAAGTATAAATTATTTAAACTAGTTACCTAGAGGCTATAACTATTTTTCTCTTCTATACTTCTTATTATTATTCTTAGAATATATTACCTCTACTACTTATAGACCTTATATTACTAATATTTAATATACTTTAACTTAGTTATAAGTATATCTATATAATAGATTCTTTAAGGCTATTAAATTTTTTCTATATTATATTCTTAATATAGAATCTTTTTCTAGAAATTAAGCTCTCTTTTTAAAGAATAAAGGGATAAAATTATTAGTTAAGAGTTAACTTTTAATTAAATAATAATAAAGTTAATTTTAAAATAAAATAAATATTATATAGTTTTATAAAATCTTTCTTAAAATTAAAAAAGAGATACTATTAATATTTTTAATATATATATATATATAAAAGAAAGTATATACTAAGATTAAGCTTGCGGATCTATAATTATATTGCTATAAAGTTGTACTTAAGAATTTAAGTATACCTTAGTAACCACCACCCGGGTATTGGTTATTCTAGAACTATTCTTACACGGCAGCGATAATTAACAGGACAAGAGAGGGGGGCAGATGGTTGCTTCAAGGTGCTGAAGTAGCCCTGGTGTCAAGTCGATAAGAGGGTAGCGAATGCCGCCAGCGTAGCATGAAAAGTTCGCAGGTCACTGGCAAAGGAGAAAGTGGGGAGAACAAGCAGCGGCAATGTAGGCTTCAAGCAGAAGGAACAAAGATAGAAAAGGCTTCAGAAAGAGAGAAGGCAAGGCATAAAATTCTTGAAGTGCAATGAAGGCACGACATGAACAGGTCAAGGTATCGGAAGGGTAAGGCGAAAGAGAGAGAGCGACTTCACTCAGATGTCGCTCAGGTATCATTGAATCTGCTCATTCAGGGTATCTCTAATATAAGTATTGGGCTTGGGCCCAGTTTTGTCGACATCATCGCAAGACACCCTCCCTAATTATTCATGCTTTTTTATATTCATTAGTAGTAATGGCTGCTATTTGTCTCCCCGGCTTGCAGCCTTGTCTGTGGACTTTCTCCTCCTGCTCTCATATTTGCTTACCTGTTTAGCTGGTTGCAACTGCCGGAGAAACCGTATCTTGGACTCCCATTTGTTTAAGCTCGTCATCTGTGAGAGGAGATTGTTTCTGCTTGGTTAGCTCTTTGTCGTAGATATGGCGGCGCATGACTCGAATTTCCTGCGTTCGCTTAAATAGTCCCCACTCAATGACATTATGTAGCCATCTGGAGCCTCGTTCGCGTGAATTCTTGTTCTTCAGATTCAAGGTCTCGATTGTGTCCATATGGTAGAGTACGGGGCCATCTTCAAATACTTCAGCCCAGCATATATAAACCTCGAAAGACTCGGAAGACAGAGTAAAGCAGAACACAAAGGTTTCCCAATCAGGGTATGAAGTGAGCGTTTTGTCGTCCTCACGGTGTGTCGATCCATCATCAGTCAAGCCTGCATATTTGTGACGAAGCTCGCGATGCACAGCGATAACAGTGGCGCTATCGCGAATACCCTGACTATGCATTTCGGTGATGTTGCCGCCAGTACCTTTTCCTTCTAGAACGGCGAAAGGATGCTGTATTGCCGGACAAAGATTGAACAGTTGCCAGACATCCGCGTTGCGATGTAAGCGCTCAGGGGCTCTGCCATCGAGGAAATCAATGTGTAAACCGATAGTCCGATCCGGCACAGGGTCTTTTAGAGCCCACGTGTTGCCTTTGTATTCCTTCACTGCCAACATGACGGTCTTGTGCTTGGCTGGCACAAGCTTCTTCTTAAACTGTACTTTGGTGGCCTTCATAAGACCATATTTCTTCCATTCGTTCTCTTCGGCCAAATTGAAAGACGAATCTGGTTCATGCCACTGCCCCGCTTCCTCTTGGGCCTGTTTCTGAATTTGGGCTGCTGACTCTTCTGAGGCCTCAAAACGGTCCTTCATCAGCAGTGAGAGTGCTTCTGTAAGGTACGTATCCTCGAAGTCATAGGTTGCTTTGATAGTGGCACTGAAAACTTTCTGCTCCTTCTGTTTTGTTGGCTTCGACAACTTCTCTGCTGAGGCGCGTTCAGACTCCACAAAACCACACACATAGCCCCAAAAGATTGGATATTTCTGAATGTGGCCTTCATCTAGAACCAGTCCGTCGTTGCGAAGTTGGAGAGCCACCTCGTGCGCTGGATGGTAAGTTCTTGTCTTCTTGCTGCTCGGCGTTTCATCCCCTATTATGCTCGGCGCTGGCGTCGTTGGATCGCGATTACTTGTAGAGGGAGTCACGGGTTACATCCCGGTGGAGAAGGCGAAAAGTGGCACTGATTGCACTTTGGTGGGAAAGAGGAATCAGGCAGGCTTCGCTTTCGCTTGCGAGGTGACCTATGAAACTTAGCAAGTGTGTCATTCGCCGTCCAGGAATTGAACTTCAATACGAGTGAGGCGAGCTGCGCAGATAGTGAAGGTTGAATGGCGGCGCACTGGATGCTCTTGGGCGAGAATCTGTGCCGTTGGCAGAAGAAGCGACGGAAGCAATCCAACCTTCGATGGAGTCGCTGATGTACGGGGTGAGGTCGTTGGAGATATTGGATAGTGTTGAATATGGTGGAAATGAGCGTGCGAAATCCATTGTGCGCCAAGTAGCACGAGAGTGTTGCAGTGAATAGAAAGTGCTGGCCGTCGTGGCGCGCAATGCTAATGAAAGAGTGAATAAATAAATCAGAGAAAGCCCGGCTTATCGATAAGATACTATGGATAACGTTTCATCGATAAGAGAGACCCTAAGTCTAAACTACATTAAGAAGGACTTGCGGGGTTAAGGATACGTCCGTAACTATTACTCAGGTACTACTTGCGTGGTAGCTCTGCTTCGCTTCTGCCACGACCGTGAAAGTTTTTATCAAGCTCATTGACTCCCCCTGCGCTGTGCCTCCTGCCTGACTTGAATCACACGGCACATGTTGGCAATATGTTGAGTAGTTTCCCTCTTATGCTGTGCAACCAGCCTGCTTGACAATCAAGCGTCTTCAATTTGGAGAAGTAAGAAGGCACAACCTTTTAAAGGAGAGGAACGTTCCGATATCATGAGGGATATTAGGCATATGGCGTGTCTTCCTTCCAAAGCTCGTTGCATCTGACAAGTTACGAAGCTCAAGTCCCACCAAATCACGTCGTCACCAGCTGCAAGACCCCTTTCAAATCATTCAAGGCAATCTTCGAATGCGCAATCATCCCATTCAATGGCTCTTTAAGCGATCACTGCACCTTGGTGCCTCACTTACTCCCCTCGAGTCTCTACTCGTCATTAGCGCTGTGGAACACTCATGGAAAGGTCGTCGCAAAATTTAAAGCTATTCGAACCTCGAATACATTAGTCGCCACCGCTTGTCCTGTCTTTTTCCCATTTGGATCACTCGCCTGGCCTTAGATCCAAGCGACGCGCCTAGTACCTCACGAAGATGATAGTCTCATGCCATCGCCAGTCTCTGTGACATCAACATACCATTGCACTCACACAAGTGAGAGGTCGAAAGCATAAGATTTACAAAATAGGGAAGTCTTTGCAGAGGGTAGAATAACATCACATGGTCCGAACCTGGCCAACCATACGTGGCCTTCAGATTGCTGCCCGTTCACGAATAGGTTGAGTGACCAAAGCCTCTGCTTGAGTCAAGATCGTGGTCGTCGTCCTGAGAAGGTCTTCGATAGCTTGTGTCAAAGGCCTAGAAGCTTTGATCAATGGGTACATGGTCAAACAATGGAGCTTGTGAATCGCAGCCTACCTCTTGCCAAATATGGGATAGATATGAAGAACTGTACAGCTGGTATCAAAGACATTGCTAATAAGCGGCGACAGCACAGCCGCTTTCAAGATCCTCTGTAAATTTTCACCTCCCCCAAGAGCCAGAAATTGAACACTCCAAACCCACTTGTTCGATTGATGACTTCCTCCTTCTATTCTGAATTCCTCCGCTTAACGCTGCACGCCCGAAATGTGAACACTATAGTCTTCTCCAAGTCTCTGTCTCCCTCGACGCACTTGTCACTTGGGTGTTCCCTTCCTCCTACAATCAAAGCTCCCTGCAGATCACAATTCTCAATCAAGACTGTCTATCTGACTCAGGCTATCGCCCATGGAGATCGTCATCACCTACGTCCACCTCCTCCAGCTCAGCTGGCACTTGAAGTGGCTGAGGAAATGCTATTGTTCATTCACAGCCTGGGGAAGACAGAAGGGACGAAGATCAATTGCCCAAGCTTGGTTGAGTTAACGAGCATGCTTGTCTGAGGTCGCTTTTGAAGATTCCGGGTTCTTTGACATCGGGAGCTCACGTTCAAGATCCGCTGCCTGGCGCAGCGTTTTTAACCCCCTCCTTTGGTTTCCCCCGAGCCGCCACCTTCGCTGGATCCTCCTCCTTTGGAACCTCCTGAGTTGCCCCCTCCACCTCAGCCAGTGGTGTTGTCATTAGGATTGGGGATAGTGAGTCCTGTGTGGCTTTGAGGTACCTCTGTTGGTGTCTAGTACAACTGTAATCGATGAAGGCGTTACTGATTTAGGACTCGTTGCGCAAGCAGACAGTAGTACAACAGCGCCAATCAATGGTGTCAAGGTAGAATCTCTTGGTGATTGATGGGGGAGCTGAAGTGGATTTGACTCTCGTTATATGACGCTCGATTTCATACGTCATTTCAGGCCCTTTATTTTGCCTATGTTCTTGGTAGCAATGCTCGTTGCTGTTCTCTTCTGCGCGAAGTTGCGTTGACCTGCAGTTTATGTGGATATCGCATACCACATCAATTAGCATGCAACAACAACAACAACAACAACAACAACAACAACAACAACAACAACAACAACAACAACAACAACAACAACAACAACAACAACAACAACAACAACAACAACAACAACAACAACAGTCTTTGTAGCACGCTTGAGCTGATTTGATTCTCATGTGCAGGTCCAGCTGGGGTACCTGCGTGATCACATTTAGAATTTAGATAGGTGGTGCGTCAACGTCCCCGTCGCCTTTGACTTCCTGTGATGGCTTGCAAAGAAGTCCCTGCTGCAAGCCTCCGCTGTGTCGCACAAGTTACATCGAAGGATTTCTGTCCATGTGTAAGGCAGCAATTGCCTGATCGCGCAGCATCGCAATCATCCTGCGAACAATGACACCGATCTTGTGATACACTGCACTTTCCTTGAAAATGAAGACTCAAGCGCAATGACGGAAATTGCACTGCAAGCTTAGCATTTCCTTTCAATTCTCACTCGGTCAAGATCTTGCATTCACTCTCAGTAGTTCACCAAGATGTTCGGGCTCAAGTGGGACAAGGCTCCAACATAGACTCGCAGAAGCTACACGAGACATCGAAAATTTGAAGACCATCTGTCAGGTGCCCTCAATCTCTGTAGGCGTCCTTCACAACACTAGCGTCATTTCGACCTTCAGCACAGGCTACAGCAACGCCCAATGGGACGTTTTGGCAAGCGACGGCACCAGATATCTGCTGGACTCACTCTCGAAGACTTTTCTCAGTGCTGCGGCTGGGATTGCCGTTCACGATCAGCGGATTGCATGGAAGATTCATTTGGAATGCACGTCGGAGACTTCGAGCCGCGAAAAGACACCAATATCGCCTCTTCGACCACTATCCGCGATTGCTTGCGGCATTGACAGGTCAAGTTAATCCTGCAATCCTTGTACTCAAGGCCTCGTGGCACTCTTCTGAACAAAGAGGACGATTTCGTGGAGTTGCTGAATCACGCGAATACATCAAACCACACAGGTCAACGTTTCGAGAGATAGTGGCTTTACAATAACTTTGCATATGGTCTTGCAGAGATAGCATTATAAAATGTGTACAGACAGGGGTATGCTGTGTGGCTACGTGAGCGCATCCTCTCACCGTTAAGAATGCATTATACAGCGGTCGACAAATCAGAAATCCGGCTCGATCATAACATCGCGTATCCATACAACATGCTGAGCACTGGGGAGACCATTCGTCTTCGCGATGATAATTGGACAAGAAGTGACCATACCCTTCTCCTCGCAGCTATGGATACGTGAAGCACTGTCAACGACATGTTGGAATGGGCTAGAGAGCTTCTTCTGGCTGAGCCATCAGTGGGAAACTTGACTGAAGACTCGAAGGGGGGTGCAAAGGGATCAGGAAGCGTGCTGATCCCGAGCGTACCTTGAAGAATATTTGCCCCACACGTGAGACAGAGTGGACAAGACCAACGCCCGGCAATGACCGTGACGAGCCTACATACTTTTTTTGGCTGGGCGAGATTGAAGACACCCTCGGCAGCCTTAGGCTGGGGTTCTTACAATGGCATGACACGTTTCAGCAACGCCCACGAGCAGTATGTCCTTTGGACGAGATTCCCCCTCTCGACAAGTCATCTTTCACAACAGGATCATGCTTAGATCCTCCTGTACATTTTATACTTTCCTTAAGACCGCCAGTGCTATCATAGCCTTTGCAACGGCATACAGAATGGGGATAGAGCGCATTTTGCCGCCTAGAGATTGACTTAGGCCTTGTTCGACCTGCAACCGAAAATAGACATCCTTGTAGGTGCTGCCGAGGAGGCTCACCTACGATTTGAAACCTTCCACCCTTGAATGCTGGAAGATTGGCACGCTCATCGAAAATCCGATGCACCACAAAAGCCGGTACATGATTATGTTTGCCGATATTATGAGCATTGGACCCTTGTATTGGAAGGTTCTGTGTCTAAAGGTAATCAAGATAGGCTCTAGTCCTTCTTTGGCGTTTCGCAGCTGACCACTGCTGATGACGGTACTTTGAGCATTAATACTATCAATAGAAACACCAAGCAGCTCATCATAACCTTCAATGACGACGCTAACATTCGTTGTAATCTTGATTCCTATGCTGAGGATATTTACAGCTTTCTACCACCTACACAGGATCTTTGATTACGAAATTGGGATAGTCGACTAGGCTTTCTACAAGACTAGTCTCCTCTAATTCAAGCGCGGTCCTGGAGGCGACCAGCATGTCCTTGGTCTTATATAGCAATATAATGAATATGGGGAAGCAAACTTCTTTGCAAAAGTAGTTAAGCTCCTCTTTCCAAGCTGAAACTGGTATAAAAACCTTCATTCTTTGAATTGACGGATAGTCTTACTTCGTGCCTTCGTGTCTTTCGATGCAGCTTAGATTAAGATCGCTGTTACTTCCGAAGCAAATTCTCGAGCGCTTACGTCCTGTTCTCTACGATCAGCATGCCGAGCCTTTCGATTATAAAGATTGACGTCCGATGATCTTGCGTACATGAGTTTGCAGGCGAAGCTAGCTCGTGGACAAAAGCGCTAGCTCTACTTCTATTCTATGCAGGTTTCTTCTATGAATCCTATTCTCAATTGATTCGTTTTGCGACATAACCAGGAGGTACTGCCTTGCTCTGTCAATTATGTTAGTAGCCGATGGGTATCTAGATGCCTTGACGCACACCAGCATATACGGAAACAAACACAATTTGCCTTTATTCCACGGAGATAAGATGACGCCTAAATATCGATCAAGCTTAGACATCTTGGTCCATGACGAAGTCGTAATCCTTCTGAGGATTTCGGCCTGATGACGTTTCTT